ACCTACAGCTGTATAAGCCGCTCTTCACTGAGCGCCCAGTGTGTGTCCCAGGTACTGCTTATACGTATCTTCATCAGATACACCAACCCTGTGGCATAGATACTGTCTTCATTTTATTGGCTAGAAAAGTGAAGTTCAGAGAGCTGACATGATTTTCCCCAACTCACAGAGTCCTGGGTTCACATATCCGTTCAGGCTATAGTAACAAAATACCACAGACTGGGGGGACTTGAGCAACAAGTCCGGAGGCCGTTTCTCACAGGTCTGGGGGCTGGAAAGTGCAAGGTCGAGTCTCTAGCATATTTGGTGTCTGGTGAAAACTCACTTCTGGGTTCACAGACATCCACCTTCCTGTGTCCTCACGTGGCAGACGGGGCAAAGGAGATCTCTGGGGTCTCTCTTCTAAGGGCACTAATCCCATTTGTGGGGGCTCCATCCTCATGAGCTCATCACCTCCCAAAGACCCCACCACCTAACACCTTCCTCTTGGGGGTTAGGATATCAACACAGAAATTTTGGGGGGACACAAACATGTACTCCATAACAACCCTGCTGTACTCCGAGCCACAAGCACTACATGTCCCTAAAAGCCATCCGGAGCCAAGGCAGGCATGGCCAATCACGATGGTCCCCTAAAGAGCCTGGGAACCCGGACAGGATGTGACCACCAGTGGTGTGACTAGATGCAGAACTAAGGTGCTGAAGAGCAATGGGACTCCCGGGGCAGCAAACCGGAAGAAGCTTTCTTATGTCCAGCAGGCTATGATGAGGGAACCAGCAACGCATGTACTCCCGGGAGCTCCTGCCTGAACAGGGTTTGGGCGAGGGGAAATTATAAACCCCAACCTCGGTGCGAGAGAGTTTAAGTCAGAGTGTTGGGAGGAACCCCCGCCCCACTGTGTCACGTGTCTTAAGGGTGACACTCCTGCCCCCCTTCTCCTGATGTGGGAGAATACCTGCCCTGATAGATGAGTCTGGAGAAAGGACCAGGCCTGTCTTTAGCCCGCTCTCCTCTGTGCCAGTAAAGACCCTGCCCCCTGTGGACGAGGCCTGTGGTTTTCCCATCGGGCCTGGCGCTGGGTAGCTGAGCTCAGCTTAGAGGTGCTGTCCTGGCAAATCCACCCGGTTACCAGACCTAAAGCCACATCCTCCAACAGACCTTTATCTGCGAAGAGGGACCTGGGTGAGTGTCTCTCTCAGTTGGTTCCAAGTGCAGGCAGGGAGCTTGGGTGTCGGAAACTAAATCCCTTCAGCCCCAATAGGATGGCACCTAATGGGGAATTTGAGTAGCGAAGCAGGTGCTGCAAGAGCTTTTGAGCCCAGGGAGGGAAAGTTTCTATTTAAAATGGATGTAAGCCTGCTCTGTCTTTTCATCACCAACTTGACTTTACCAGACACTTGTTTGCAGAACGAATTTGTAGGGTTTTGCCTTAACCACTGTGGTTTGTTAGTACCCCGTACGGACTTCACCTCACTGGGATTTACCTCAGTGTGTGTTCATCTTAGCATTTTCCTGTTGTGTAGTTGTTAGAGGAAACTACCTTTCTCTTAAATCTACCACTTGTAACATCACGATTGTCTTATAATTAAGCCACCCGGTATAAACATCTATTCAGATTACCTTGAAGCTAAGGCAAAAAGTCTGTAAGCTTTTTCTCTTTGAATGGATATATATATGAGTAAAGATGTGATTAGATTACATCATTTAAAAAACAATGCAAAATCTCTTTCTAAGGCTCTTCAATATATAATAAGAGTTAACATTACTGAGCATGTTCTATGGTCAAGTAACTTAGATGGTCTCATTTAATCTTGCCAATTTAATGAGGAAATACCGCTGCTATTCCCATTATATAGATTAAAAAAAACCCCGAGGTTCAGAAAGGTTCATCCATACAGCCAAGTACATAGTAGATCCAGGGTTTGGTGCTAGGTCTGAGTCCAAAACTCTGGTTCTTACCACTACTGTGGTTCTGTAGAGGTGGGAAAAAGTATTTTCCTCTACTCTCTTAGGTTCAGTAGCTGGGTCATGCGAATTAAACCAACGAAAGACAAGTTAACAGTAGAAAAGATTTATTATGCATGCACTTGGGGGCTGACAGAAAAGATGTGAAAACCCAAAGAAACATTTAGGCTTGCAAGCTTATAAGCCATTTTAACAAATGGTGATAAATTGTGGACAAGGGACAAGACAAAGAAAAAGGGGTTTGCGCTTCTAGAAGTCATAAATCGTGGGAAGGTAGATACATGGGAGAAACTCATTGAAGATAGGGTTGTGTAGTAAGATTTGTTTATGCATACTCAAGTCAGTGCCATCTCCAGTGAGAATTATCATCTCTTTTCCCTGGTTTGGGAGAGGGGAGGAGATACCTTCACAAAGGGAAATTTGTACCCTGCTTTTAGGCAGAAAGGGAGAGGACAGAACTTCTCCTGTGTCTGCTGTTTCTCAGTTGCCTTCAATTTATAATAATCCTTATCCCAATGTGGCATATTTTGGCGTGCTATATCCTGGTCCCCTTCAGTCCCCCAAACACATAACACTGTTCTAAAAGTTCTCAAATAGGGGCGTCTGGGTGGTGCAGTAGGTTAAGCATCCAGCTCTTGGTTTTGGCTCAGGTCATGATCTCAGGGTTGTGAGATGGAGCCCCGAGTCTGGCTCTGCACGGAATCTGCTGGAGACTCTTCCTCCCCCTCTGTCCCTCCCCCCTCCTCAAATAAATGAATAAATCTTAAAAAAATAAAAGTTCTCAAATATTTATTGAGTCCTATTCTATGCTCAACATTATAAGGCTGAATTCTTGCCCTCGAGGAGCTTGCAGCTAAGTACGGGAAGACAAAGCTCCTCAGCTTCAGACAAGCCCCTCAGTGGGGACAGCTGCTCCTTACATTTGGACAGAATTTTCTAAGTTTCCAAGTGCTTCACACACATCATTCTGTCTTCTGTTGGATCTTCACAAACAACAGTATGAGGTAGCCTGGTTTTCTTATTTTTATTTTTACAGAAAACCCTCTTAGAAGTCAAGCAACTTACCCAAAGTTATCCACCTTGGACATCTGACTGTCCACTGTTCCGCTATATATGCTACAGGATTTTTGTCCCCTTAGTGCCCGCAGTTCTTGGTCACACTGCTTGGAAGAATGAAGAGGTAGACCAGACGAAGAGTGGTGGGCAGCAAAGCAAAGTTCATTGAGCAAGAGTATAAAGCTTCCTGGAGAGGGAGGGGAGTGTGAGTGGGTTGCTCCCAAAGTTTCTAAGATTAGGGGGTTCTGTGAGCTATCTTAAGCAACCAGGGTGTGCTGAGTCATGCCAATCAGGGCTTTGGTCATGTATCTGCCTATCTATTAGGTTAATGTCTCTGTGCTGATGGTCTTTTTTTGCTGACATCTGGGGCTTATGTCTTAACTGTCCCTTGCCTGTGATATTGACAAATGCTTTGGGGTTAATTGTCTTATTTTAGGACATTTTGCAGAAGTCATTTCTGCAAAGGCTGCAAAGCAAAATATTAGTGCGGTCCTTTCTAAGCTGCAAAACAGGATGTCAGTGCTGTTTTATTTTAGCTGTCCTGACTGCATATTTTCTTTTCTTTCTTTTTTTTTTTTTTTTTTTTTTTACAGATTTTATTTATGTATTTGACAGAGAGAGACACAGCGAGAGAGGGAACACAAACAAGCAGGGGGAGCGGGAGAGGGAGAAGCAGGCTTCCCGCTGAGCAGGGATCCCAATGTGGGGCTCGATCCCAGGATCCTGGGATCATGACTTGAGCCAAAGGCAGACACTCAAAGACAGAGCCACCCAGGCGCCCCTGACTCCATATTTTCTTGTGGGGACCCTAGTCCTGACTGCCTAATTGTCCAGCTCACTCCTAACATCTATACACACACACATACATACATACATGTACACAGACACACACACAGACACCTATATGAACCATATGTATATAGCCGTATACATATATGTAGCATTTGCCAATGGAGCTGGTACTGACTCAGATCTTGGCTGGCCAACCTAAACTGGCCCCCACCCACCTTTGTCCGTTCACACCAATGATCACTAGGGGGAGGTTTTCAAGGAAATTTACTTCCCCTCAGTCTGTGCTAATACAGGCTACGCATGTAAAATGAGTTGGACAAGCCCCTTGGGACAGTATGTACAGGTCCCTCTTAAAGAATGGGTGAGCTATTCGAGGTGGGTGCAGCAGGATTTCTTTTTGGTGGCTTGTTTCCTGTTAGCGCCTAATAATGTGTCTGGAAAAGAACTTAAGTAAACTGCATTTCATTGAAGACATTCTCCTTCAGATCTATTACAAATCCATTCCAGGGTCCCGTTCTCCAGAATCTTCCACAACACTGGGAAATTTGGCAGAAACATGGGCTGGCTCCAACAGCCGATCCCAATCAACACTCTTCTCCTTTGCCTCCCGTTGTAGAGGATGGTAACTCATTTCCCGAGATACTCTGCGGCGAGAGGTGCTAAGGGAAGTCGGCTGTGGCAGGGGGCAGGTTTCTCGGAAATATTTTTCTCCCTATGAAAGGAGAGGAAGACTGAAAAATGTATTCTTGCAGTTCTGGCCAGCTCCCTGCTTCCTGTTTTTTTCTGAGGTTCTGCTGGGATGGGAAATGGGAGCTGGGGCCAGGGGCGCAACAGCGGGGGAGCGAGGCTTGTGGAAATGTTAGGGGCGGTGGGAAGAGTCGAGGGGCCGGACCGGATAGCAGGCTGGAGGACAGCGTATATGGGGCGATCGTTAAACCAGCGTTGCGGACAGTGCGGATTAGGGCGCGCCTGCGACACTTCCGGTTCCTGCCGCTCGCCCAGCCTCGCCCGCTCCAGGGACACCGCCTGCCGTCAATGGGCGGGGCACGTTCTGGGGCGTGGCCGGCCGGACCGTAGAACCCCTCCGGTTCAGGGCGGGGCAGGCCGAAAGGGCGGGGCCGCGCTCCGTCGGGGCGTGGCCTGTGGAACCTCAGAATCCGGGCGACTCGGGGCTGAGGCGCGCGTCTCCCGGCGCGGGGTTCCTCCCACGCAGCTTCCCATTCAAAAGATGCCGAAGGGGCGGCGCGGCAGCCAGAGCCCCACCATGAGCCAGCGGCCGGCCCCGCCCCTCTACTTCCCTTCCCTCTACGACCGCGGCATCTCCTCGTCCCCGCTCAGCGACTTCAACATCTGGAAGAAGCTCTTCGTGCCGCTGAAGGCGGGAGGGGCGGCGGCGGGCGGGGCGGTGGCGGGGCGACCCCTGCCGCAGGTGCCCCAGGTTCCGGCGCCCCCGCCGCCGCCACCCGGCCTGGGGCCTCCCGGCGAGCGCCCCTGGCCCCCGCCCTGGCCCTCCGGCCTGGCCTCCATCCCCTACGAGCCACTGCGCTTCTTCTACTCGCCACCGCCGGGGCCCGAGGCGGCTGCCTCGCCTCTGGCCCCCGGCCCCACGACCCCCCGGCTCGCCTCCGCCTCCCACCCCGAGGAGTTATGCGAGCTGGAGATCCGGATTAAGGAGCTGGAGCTGCTCACCATCACTGGGGACGGCTTCGACTCCCAGCGCTGTGCGTGACCTTGCCCGAGTCCCTGCTTAGCCCGCCTTGGCTCGCTCCTTGGCTCCATGCCTTCCTAATCCCCTCCCCCGCAGTGTGGCCTCGGGCTCAGACTCCAGCCCCCAGGGATCCCAGATCCCAGATCTCTCTCCAGATCTCTCGACCTCTCCAGCACCCAGTCACACCTCCCAGCACCCCGACTCGATTTCAACCGACGCTTCCCTCACCACAGCCAGGATTTCATGAGCACTTCTGGCCCAAACTCCACCCTCCCCCTTCATCCTGAGCCCTTTTGGTAATCTGGACTCCGCCTCCAAACCCAGAACTCCGTCCACCACAGCCCCCAACCTGCAGTTTAAACTTCCTACATCCCCGACCCCTGTGGTAGTGATATTACCATCACCCACGACCCACAATCCCTACCTCTACAGACCTGAGCTTTAGTGTTTATCTTCAACTGCGGTCCTGAATGGGAGGAGAGGGAAGCAAACATCAGTTGGAGGGTCTGTAGGTAGAGGTGGGAATTGTGCGAGACCCAGGAATCCCAAGGACAGTTCACTGAGGGGCTTTGGGGCCCTCCACTTCTCAGTGTTGGAAGGAAACCTCCCTGTGAACCCTGGGCCCGGTCCTGGTAGCTCTCTCACCAGGGTCCTGAACTCTGCCCTCTGATCTTAGGTTTAAAGTCTTAGGGATCTGGATCAGGGTAGACCAGGTGTATTGATGTGGGCAGGATTCCTCTAGCATGCAAGCTAACTGATCCTTCCAGTTGGAGGGTGAAGTTAAATCTGATTCTACCTGCATAAGGACCTATCACAGTATAGAATATTCAGTAGCCATAGGCTGTTCTGCTGACTTTGTCTTCCCATCACCTGTTCTAAGGTTTGCAGTATAACAGTGGAGGAGGGCACATTGTTCTAGAAAGACCATCCCCACTATTATAAAACAAAACAAAAACAACAGGTTAAATCGGCTCTCTTGCCACACAGGGAAGGGGAGGGAGTATGAAATAACCTAAATGTTTAAGTTAATGTGGCTATGAGAATGGTCCCCAACTCATCAGGCACCTGTAAGGTCCTTTTCCCCACAGTCGTGGAAAGAATCCCTAGAAGACAGGCTTTTCTAAGTCCTGGATTTCTTTACTACATATTCCCCACTTAAAACACATTTTGGCTGTTAGGGTTTTTTTCCTACCCATGTTGGGTTTTGGGTTCATGCAGGCAACACACAATGCTTCCCAGAAGCTTACTTTGGAAGTGTTAGAAAAGCCCTTATCTTAACTACAGCTGTGTTTGTTTTGCTGTCCTGCAGATAAATTCTTGAAGGCACTGAAAGATGAAAAGTTACAAGGACTGAAGACAAGGCAGGCTCCTGGAAAGAAGTCGGCCTCTCTCTCCTGAGGAGCTGCCCACCAGAGCCTGGGCAGCCACCTCCTTAGGTGTTAGTGCTTAGATAATGTGTCCTGTTTGTTGGCATTTCAAAGGTTATTTTCTGTTCTGTATTTCCTGCTGTTCTCATTGCTCCCAGCATGTACTCCACATACAGTGCCCACTTGTGGGGTAAATCTCATGGTCTGTCTCCTCTCTGTGCTGCAGCTGGGGGTGGGTGCTCTCTCACAGGGTCTAGAAGCTGCTGCCCAGCTGGCATTCAGGGGCTCCTGAGACCATAGGAGGGGACGTCCAATACTGCCATGTGGAGGGAGTTGGGAAAACCCAAGGGCAATATATATTTGGTTGCTGTGTCCCTGCTCAGAAAGGTTCTTTGAGGACTGGAACAAGCGGTTTGTTTTCAAACAGCTTTAGTCTTGAAAAGTGTTTTAATAGTTTTTGGGCCAAAAAACTCTTTGATAATCTGGTCAAAGCTATGGTCCTTCCTAGAAAATCATATTCAAGAAATACCGAGGACTTATGTGCCTTCCCAGACTCAGGATTGGGAGTGGGGGAGACCCAGACAATAAATACTATAAATAAGTAAATCATAATACAGTATCATAGATGACCTGCTAAGGGGAAAACAAAAACAGTAGGCAAGGTTGGTCAGGAGGGTCAGAGGAAAGCAGGATGGCATTTTAAATAAGGTTTCTGGAAGAGGTAACATGTAAACAAGGTGTGGAGAAAGTTGAGGGTGATAGCCATGTGGCACCTAGGGGAAGGTTCCAGGCACAGGGGGGCTGGTGCAAAGGCTGAAGGTGGGAGCATACTGGGATGTTTGTGGGCCAGCAAGAGCCCAGATGGCTGGGGCAGGAGGAGAGAGGGGAGCATGATAAGGGTGAGTGCAGAGGGTCCTTCCAGGTGGGACTCTGCAAGCCATGCAGGGACTCTGGGTTTTACTCCAAGGGGAGTATGGAGTGGTTAGAGGGTTTTCAGCCGAGTGATAATATCTGACCTGTGCTTCTGAGTTGAGAACAGACTGAGGAGGAAACAGAGAAAGCAGGTAGGAGGCTGTCATAATTAATAATCCACCGAGAATTGGTGGTGCCGCGCAATGTGGCCCAGGCCCGGCCGCCCTTTCCCCCTTGCTGGGTCAGAGGTGTCTATGTCCTGTGGGGTGCCCCCCACTGCCATCACCCCTGCAGCCAGGTGCTGTCTCTCTGGCAAGAAGGAGCAAGAGCTCAGCAACACAAGTCCACAAATAAAGGAGAAAGTATTTTAGAAAACAGGTCTTCAATCGAGTGTAACACTTTGATGCTTGGCATCTGGATTCCCTTGTGCCCTCACTCTGCCTGCAGCCACTGTAGATCATAGCCAAAGAATTTGTGACGTTTGGGCTTCCTGCAAAAAAGAACGGAAAGGAGTGAGCGGTGAATCAGGCGTCTTAGAATCCGAGCGGAGGAGGTGTTTGGGAGGGGGCGTGGTCAGCTCGGACCAATCGCACTGGTCGGCCCGGCACCGCGAGCCTGAGATGCCCTCTTGGACTTGGCAACGAGGATTTGGTGTCGGTGATCTTGTCAGGTGTAGTTTTGGTTGAGTGAGAGGGGTTTAACGCCTGAGCAGAGTCGTTTTAAGAGAGAAGGGGGGGTGGAGGTGAATTGGAGACCATGGCTGGAGAAGACTTTAGAGGCGTTTAGCTGCCTCTTAGAGCAGTAACTGGCAGGGCAAGCGGGGTTGAGCGGTCTTCATTAAGGGAGAAATGACTGCTGTATAACGGGCGGAGGGAGAAAAAGTGACGATGTAGATGGGGCATGGCTGGAATGGTGTCCTCAAGTGGACAAGAGAGGTGGGACCTACTTTACAGTGGAGGGATCAGCGTTACGTGGGCGTAGAGACGGTTCCTCCGCAATCACAGGAGGTTCTGTCCGCGGTGTGAGCATGCAGATGCCGGTAAATGGGGAAATGGGTGGTAGGAATCCCGGGAAGTTGCATACCCATGCCCCAAAGTTGGTGCAGCGACCCCGTGCTTGAGGACGCAAATGTGCATGCCTGCAAGGCCCAGCTGGAAACCGTGGAAGGGGTGCGGGGGGCCAGGTGGAGAGGGGCCAGCTGCAGAGCCGAGGCCGGGCGGAGGGGGTGGGGGGGTCGGCAGCCGACCCCGACTTCCAACTGCTTCTTGCCCAGCCAGGAGTGTAGCCCGCTGTCAGGCGAAAGCTCCTGCTTTCTAAATCTTAGCAACAAATGCAAATATTTCCAGAACACAATTCGGACCAAATAAAGGCTCAGCAGTCCCAAAGAGTTTGTAACCTCTGCTCTTCCCATAGCAGCCCTCTCCACCCCGGGCAGGGATTCTAGGCCCCTCTCCCCTCCCCAGGAAGAAGGCAGATTCCTATTGCCCCAAGCTGGTTGCTATTGGAGAAGTTCCCTTGTTCACCCTGAAAAACTAATGGCGGGCGAAGTCAGTGAGAGGGGCTGGAGAATGTTAATGATAGGGTGGGGGAAAACCAAGGGCCGTATAGCCAGGGGAGGCCTGTTTCCCATTCCCTTCCCAGTCCCAATAGCTCCCACCTCCTGCTAACCCCTAACCTCTCCCCCATCCCCCCATGCGCACAAGATTGGCCCCCTATTCAGTGCACACCATGTCCCAGGTGCAGAGGGAGACAATTGATATGAACAATTTCATTTAATCCTCACCATCACCTTGTGGAATAAGCACCACTCTTGGCGTGTTTTATAAATGAGGAAAGAGAGGCTCCTCCAGAACAAAATGGAATGGAAGAAGCTGTTTGCCAAAGAAAAGGATGTTAGCAGATGAAACGGATAAGAGTCCTGATTGAGAGAAGAGCATATGCAAGGAATAATAGCTGAATGCACGGGGTGCTGAAGCCAGCTGGAATAGCTCATGAGCGCCAATTGCTAAAATTCAGGAATTTTGTCAGCTGCTTGTTAAATACAGCCATTATTAAAAATTAAACTGTATCAACTCACAAACTATTTACAACTAAGTTAAGAAATACTCAAAATCCATCACTTCCTTTTTTGCTACATTTTACAATTACCTATGTTCTTGAGGTGACGTCTCCAGCACCACTTATAAGGGTATCTAATGTGCTTCCTTACTTCCTAAGAATGTCAGGTTGGTGTATGATATTGGCCATCCAGAGAGTTTTTACACCATGGAAATTGGCGAATGTAGAAATCACGTTTGTTTCTGCCCACCTCCACTCTCCCAGAGAGTTGGTTGTTAAATTGTTTACTAGCACACCACCAGATAAATGAGAGACAAAAAATACCACTTTGTTCATAACTGAGCTAAAGAGAAAGCTGCTTTGAAGCATTTGAAGTTGGGCTGAAGGTATAAATGAGGCCCCCTTCTCCCTCTGGCCCCATTTGCCCACTTAGCTGTAGACATTGAGGAGGCAGGAAAGAAGAGCCTGATCAGGCCTGCCCCCCAAGGCAGGCTTTACCTTGAAATAAATAGGAGCACATGTGTACTGACTTTCAAGATGTAGTAAGCCTGCCCACTGGTAACATGGGGCCCAAAGAATGTTCTGGACCCTGGCCAATCAGATTTGTGACTTCTACTTTCGGGTAATAAGGGTATAAGGGAGTACAGAGGTAATAGCCTGCAGGTGGGGGACAGAAGTTCCTCCTCTGCAGTGGTAACCATTTTGAGCAAGATGGAACATGAAACTTGATTAAGCATGAAACTAGCTATTTATATCACATCCCCTTCATCACAGATCTGTTAGTCCTGAGAGAAATAGAAAATTTCAAGGGAAATGGGAAAACCTCCTTCTACCTAATGCAAGTAATTTGTGCCCCACTGTATGGCCAAAGGAGTCAGGCAGGATCCAGTGCCTGCAGGAACCTGGTTTCTCAGAACAGGAGAGCCAATCACAGCTTTAAAGCTTTCGCTGGAGGTGAACACCACATGGGTGCCTCATGGCTCACTGGCATTTTCTTTTTTTTTTTATTATCCCCATTTTATTTTATTTTTTTCTTTAAATGTTTTATTGTTATGTTAATCACCATACATTATATCATTAGTTTTTGATGTAGTGTTCCATGATTCATTGTTTGTGCATAACACCCAGTGCTCCACGCAGAACGTGCCCTCTTTAATACCCATCATCAGGCTAACCCATCCCCCCACCCTCCTCCCCTCTAGAACCCTCAGTTTGTTTTTCAGAGTCCATCCTCTCTCATGGTTCGTCTCCCACTCCGATTCCCCCCCTTCATTCTTCCCCTCCTGCTATCTTCTTTTTTTTTTTCCTTAACATATATTGCATTATTTGTTTCAGAGGTACAGACCTGTGATTCAACAGTCTTGCACAGTTCACAGCGCTCACCATAGCACATACCCTCCCCAATGTCTATCACCCAGCCACCCCATCCCTCCCACCCCACCCAGCTCACTGGCATTTTCAACAGACACTTGATTCCAACCACATATGTGACCTTGAGAAAGTCACCTAACCTCTCTGAGCCTGTTCCCTCATCTGTATAATGGAGACACTGCTCTCACAGGATGGTTGGGTGGGGGACAAGAAATAAGGTGACAGATGTGAAACTGCCCCAGTTGGGAGTCATTATTATTATTTTCTGGTGCATTTAGAACACTGTTCTCATTGTTGGGGTATGGGTGCAGGGAATGGAGGTGGCCGTGGGCTGTGAGCCAGAAGGAGGCCTGGCCTGCAGGGAGGGAGAAGCTTTGAGCTTTGAGCTTGCAGGGCCCCCGAGGGCTCAGCCCTACAAAAAGTGACCAGGAGGTGAGGGTGGCTGGGAGGCAGTTTGGGAGGAGGTTTGAGTCTGAGGGCCAACCGCATTTCTCCCAGGCAGCATCATCTCCTGCAGCAAAGCCAAGGGCTGGGCCTCTCTGCAGGTGGGTCCCCCAGGGCAGCGCTGCGGTCCCCACCCAGCGCTTTCATCAGTCCACACCAGGGCGTCAACTCACACAGAAGGTATTTGTGCCCCGTCCTCGGAAACAGGACCGGAGGGAAATCCGGGAAATGGGTCTGGGGGCTGGGTTTCTTTTGGTTGCCAGGAAACAGTGGGCCACTCAAACTAGCTTACTTAGATAACAAGAAGGGCTGACAGGAAGGTTCTCTGGTTACAAGCAATAGAAACCAACGTAAGAAAAATGTAAAAAAAAAAAGGAGACATCCAGGCCTTTAGAAGGAAAGGAATGAGGGTGCTGCCCCAGGACTGCTCCGCGCCAGCCTCCCCAGTCCTTGGA